AAGCAAAGCATGTATTTACAAATGTCATAAAACTGGCACTTACATTTACAGTATTAAGATATTTCATGCTGGACTTGGTAGTGTATATCTTTAATCCCAGCACTTGGAAGACAAAGGCAGAGATAAGTGGATCTTTGTGAGTTTGAGGCCACTATGGTCTATATAGTGAGTTCCAGACCAGCTAGGCTATACAAAGAAACCCTGTCTCAAAATAAATATGTAAATAAAAAGGCATTTATAAGGTGAGTGTGTATTTTCAAAACCACCTAAAGACACCAGTAGCAAAATGTACAAATAGACACTTTCCAAGAGGATGAAGAATATGTAGCCTTCTTCAGATAGAGTCCCTTGAGCTCCTGTCACCATCATAGCCTGGTCCCCAACTCAGGCTGCTCCGCTTGGAACACTAATACGTGCCTTGTTGAGGAGAGGAGCAGCAGAGGCTATCCTCTGGCCACTGGTTCTGCCCTCAGAAGCCCCTTGTGGTGGCTTGAATGAGATGTCCCTGATGGTCTCCAGAATTTGAATATTTGGTCTCTAGTTGGTGGCACTGAGGAGGCTTAGGAGGTGTGGCAGGAGGAAGTGTGTCACTGGGGGTGGGCTTTGAGGTTTTAGGAGCAACGTGCCATTCCCAGTTCACTCTCTCCCCTGCTTATAGAGTGGCCACCATCTAGAACCGTAAGTTCAAATATAAGTCACCACAGTGTCTTCTCTCAGCAATAGAGTAGTTTACCCCTCATCATGCAGCATCTTTCTCTGAAGTAAAAGCCTTCTGCAAAAGTCTCCAGCAACTCTGGTGGGACAGGCCTATGGGAGGAGAGGCTTCCACGCAGGACATTCTAGCGTAGGCAGCCCCCTGGTAGGCCAAGGTCCATAGAAGCAGGGCAGACAACGCTTTCTCTGGGTCTGATGCTGTTCCCTCCTCCCATGTCTGGTCCAGTGTGCCCTCCGGCTGGATATGGGATATGGACACAGAGTCCAGTGTGAAACTAGAGCAAGAAGCCGGGGGGGGGGGGTCACCTTGCCAAGCGACAACACGGGCACTCTCAGGCTGGTGGCCTCAGAACCTCTGTGGATACATCATAGACCACGTTCCTTTCTCTACTGTAGAGAGGCAGGGCAGGAGGTGGCTGAGAGGACATGCCCTTGCTGCTCTGACCTTGGCTCCCTTCTTTGTGCAAGGAAGAATGACACTGTCCCTGAAGCTCTGGTGCCCTAAACTGAGGACAGTAGGTGAAGGACCAGAGCCCTAACACATGCCTGAGAGGAAACGCCTGAGTGGCTCTTGACCAGGAAGCATGCACCCACAGAGACCTTCCCCGGTGCCCCTCAGGAATATCCACACCTAGTGTTTTTCAACAGAACCATTCTGAGTCCTCCACTGCCATCCTGTCCCCCAGACCTGGGCCAGACATCACAACAGTCCCTCACCGCCCCACTTTCCCTCACAGATCTGTGGAACCAGAAGGGCCAGCACAGTGCATGGGGGGATTGGGAGGGCAGATAGCAGAGCGTGATGTCGAAGAAACTGGGGTGACTGGCCTTCTGGAGGTGCTCAGTCTCCCTGTAACTGAATCAAGACACAGGTCTGGTGGTGAGTGCTGCTCTCAGCCTGACTGGGCCACCAGGGTCGCCTCTCACCTGGGTAGTGGCGCTAGCTCCTCCCAGGTTTCCCTGCTCCCACTACAGTGGTGTCCGGCACAGCGGCTGGCAGTGCTGTCAAAACCCTCGTTAGGTCACGTCTGTCTTCTACATAAACACCTCAACTACAACAAGCAGCCCCTAAGCTGGGGCAGTCTGGTCCCCTCCAACCACATTCCTTCCACCTTTCCCCCACTTTGGTCATTCCACTCTCCTCAGCCTGATCGTCACCCCTGGTCCCAGGGCCCGTGTTCCTCTGCTCCCTCCAGACACCTCACTTGTTCCTTCCTGATCTTTGCTCAAAAATGACCCATTCAAATGGAAGCACCCCTGCTCAGCCTGCTAGGCCCTAATTTCTCCTCCCCTATTCCCCCAGCCCAAAGGCGTCTGTCTCACTGCTAATATTCTCCGCTGCCTATTACTCCCCACACTGGAAGAGAAGCTGTGGGATGTGGCCCACGCTGAAGGGCTGGTGTGTGAGTGGACTGACTGTTCCTCTGGTCTCTCCCACAGGCCCCTACTATGTTCAGTGTGCACACCTCTTCCAGTTTCTCACATTGCTCACTCCACCTGCTCTTTGGTGAAGGCCCTGCAATTCTTTCAGGGTTACTTTCAAGATGTAAGTCTGTCAGCATCCAGGAAACATTTGAAGTGACAGAGGGGAAGGAAGAAGCCAAAGATCCAAAACAAGGGGATTCAGACAGGTCTGGGGTATAAGATAGCTGGGAGGCGCTGCTGTGGACAGAGGCAGACCTCCCTGGAGCCCGTGTTCAGAGACTTCTGCATGGACTGTCAGAATGAACCAGGATGGTGTAGGCCTGGCCAGCAAGCAGGGAGCTAAATAAAGGGAGACTAGGACAGTGAGCACACAGCCCCCAGCAACAGGCTTGATTTCTGGCTCTTATCCCACATCACAGCAGGACACCCCTAGCAGAAGCCCAGGGCTTTAGGGGAGGAAGCACCGGGACCCAGACCGGGACCCAGACCGTAGCCACTTGATAGCAAGAAAGGTCCAGCTGGGTCTAATGGGACTAATCCTGCCCAGGGGAGATCTGGTCAACAGGAAATGGAGATGATTAAGGACCACAAGGGCTCTGGGATTCCTGGGCAGCTCAGTTGAGTGTTGCCATCATGTTTTGCTTTGAATTTGCAGGTGTGATTCAATGTTGGTTTTGACTTTGGCTGTTTCCAGTCACTTCAGCAGGGGATGGCATCTCAGTCAAGCCAATGTCTGATTAGCTAGAGACCAGCATGTCACAGTGCCCTGGGAATATTAAATAATATTTACAAGAGATGACGTTGGGGACATAATTACTGATGGTAAGAGGCAATCAACGGCAGGGAACTCTTGCACTGCTCAAGTGGTGAGCCGTTAGATCTAGGCTCTGAGAAAGAAGGGCTTGTCATGGAGCTGGCAGGAGGGTTTGGCAAGTGTTTGTTGCTGCTGATTTTGTTAATAGGCTAACCCAGCCTTGCAAATATGAGCCGGACACCAGGAGGTCTGCAGTTGAGATTTGAAAACCAGGCCAGGTCTTGCCAATAGCCTCACTTCTGGACGTGCTGAATCCCAGAAGGAGCTCTGAGATCAGCCAATGGCGACTCTGCTTGGACGGCTTCTCTTCCATAAATACTACAGGCATTAAATAATAATTACCTTGTTTTCAGAATCTTTGTTCATCAAATAGGATGGCTGAGTTTGATCCCTTAGACCAACATGGTGGTAAAAGAAAGTTGATTCCTCGGGGTTGTCCTCTGACCTCCATATACTTGTGTACACACACACACATACACACACACACACACACCACCACCACCACCACCACCACCACCACCACCACCCACGCACGCAGACACACAAAGAAAAAGAAAGAATGGCAGGGAAACAGACACAGGATTGCCACCTGGGACATGTAAAGACCCAACATTCTATCATTTCTGCTTCAAACAAGAGACCCGTTGTTTCATGCCCCAGACACACTGCCTTGTATGAATGTAATTTCCCTTCTAAAACTTGTAAAATAAAACAGGATGAACTTTTAATACTTGGAGGACCCTGGAAAATTTGTATCAGAACTCCTAAATCCAAGCTAACTCTCTTCTATATAAGGAGACTAAAGCCCCCAAACCAGTTTGTCCAAGGTCACACAGCTGCTAGTCAGCAAAGCCAAGGCCTGGACCTGATGGGCAGGGGTAGAAGGGAAGGCTGCTCTACACAGAAAGGGCAGCGAGGGAAATCAGACAGCACAGTGGGCTATGGGTGCCAGTGAGCACCAGCTTGAATCTTGTCCTCAATACCTACTGCTGTGTGGCCCTGGAAAAGTGATGTTCTCTGAGCTCATTTTCATACAAGTCAAACTGGGGTAACTGACGGTTACACTCGCTGCACACTGCTGTGAGGATTAAGTGAGATAACAGAACAGAGCGCTTTCAAACAGCAGCTACTCTTGTATAGAGAGAGGGGCATCTGGGGAGACACAGGGACACTCCCAACTTCAAGGTGCTACCTTCATAATGACAATGTGAGGAAAATTTTGTCCTAGAGGTGCTCTGGGCATCAAGTATGATGTTACTGCTTAAAAATGTCACTCAAAACCAAGTGTACCCCAGAACTCAAGCCCCTGAAGCCTGTAGAGCAAGGTGGGAATTTGTACAGTCACAAGCATCACACCGCAAACCATTGTTTCACAATGTCCACTGCCGGTGGTCCCCATCCTTCTCCCCTCAGACTTGCCTACTCTGGAGAAAGCTCCTGTAGAATGCTTGTTGTTAGGTCTCCTTCCCTCAGCACATGTTATTTCCATGTTTGTTAATGTGTGGTGTATGTGTTAGGAACAATTGTGTACAAGTGTGTGGAGGTCAGAGATTGACGCTGGATGCCGTCTTCTATCACTTCCCACTTTATTTTTGAGACGGGGTCTCTCACTGAACCTGGAGCTTGCCCACAGCAGTGGGATTACAGCTGTGCACTTCTGCTCCTAGCTTTTTACCGTTCTGGGGAATCTGAAGGTCCTCAAGCTTGTCCAGCAAGCACTTACCCACTGGGCCGTTTCCCTAGCCCCAGGCACAAGGTTCATCCACGTTACGGCATGCATCGGAGTTTCATTTCTTGGGATGTGCACACACTCCCCAGGTAGTTCTGATGAGTTCCCACAGGGTGAAGTTCAGGTTAACAGAGAGTGACAGGGTGTGTCTGTCTCACTGGAAACAGAGGCCAAGCTGTCTGCCTGCCTTCTCCAGAGACTGTGGGGCTGAGCTGGGTCTCCTGGACTCGCACTGCAGGTAGATGAGTTGTCTATGGCCAGCAGCCTGGCTGCTTTGGAAACAGGGCAGATTAGCTGTTAGAGACTCACACAGGGGGATTAGTCCCAACTCAAAGACTTTAATGTACATTCTGCTCTTGGAAAACATCTCCAAGGAAACAAGAGGAACCGAAAGTCTTAGCAGCAGGACTCCCATTCAGAGACCTGCTGGGAGTTAAGAGGACAGCACTGGGATCTCAGAGCACAGCAAGCCACCTGAGGTCAGAGTGGAGGGCCTGGGAGCCCTCCTTGAGGCAGAACTCTGCCCACACAGCACAATGGGTGTGCCCTAACCCAGAAATGTGACAGCATTGATGACAGCCCCACAGCCACAGCGGGGCTGGGAAGTTAAGCTACCCAGCTATCACCATGGCATGGAAGCAAGATCCTTTCCTTTTGTTTGAATTTCCATGTCATCAGAAAAAGTCATGGTGGCCTCAGTGAAAAATGGGGACACAGGCTTCCATGTCCCACTTGAAAGTGTGAGGCCTCAGAATGGAAGCCCCAAGACCAGGCCAATTCTGGGAAATCAACCCCTAGGGCTTCTAGGCAGAAGCCTTGGGAGAGGAAGCTGAAGCTGACTACTTGTCGCCCTCCCCCAGGCTGGGCTCCTGAGAGCTCAGTGGCCCATTTTCCAGTAGACCTCCTTCCACTTAACAAAGAGCAGGCAGAAAGTCTGTACAAACCACACTCAACTTCAAACCTACATTTAACTTAACAATTTACCGACTAACCCCTTAGACCTGGGACGGAGCAAGTTTCCTCTTCCTTCTTTTAACCAGCTATGGACTAAGCATAGTCTTTTAGACTTAAGGCTTTTTCTCATTGTCAGAAGCAATTAGATGTTTCGGGGTGGATTTCACCTGGACCTTCTACAAGGGCTCTTTTCTGAAATTAAGTGCCAGGGCCAGGTTAAAAGGAACCACAATGCTCTGCTTTTTCAGCAAAGGAATGTATTCACGGGTGAAGAGGGATCCTGGCTCCATCTTTACAGGACCTGCCTGGACTGCTATGCTGGAAGGGTCCCAGGAAGATGGATGAGCAGAGACACTGGGGAACTGGGGAGTAGCCATGTGGGAAGAGGCCTCCCTGGCTTGAGGATCTGCAGCTAGCCAGTCTCGATGCCCTCAGGGAGCTCCACCACCACTGGGGCACAATCCTCCGGCTCCGAAGCAAAATCCCACCGGAACTTCTTAGTCAGGTGGGCTTGGAACTTTTCCGCTTTCTTCCTCAGGGTGGCATCCACAGCAATACTGCAGGCAGAAGAAAAGAAAACCTACAGAGAACAGAGGGTAAGTTACTCCTGAGAACAGGGGGCCAAGAAAGCTGTGGAAATTTCCTCCTAGTGTTCAGCTCTTTGGGGCAGTAGATCAGCTGCTGCTGGCATAGTCCCAGGACACCTGCTGTGCACCCTCCCCCCCCCCAAATCCAAGAAGGAAGACATTGGGACGGGACTGGAATGGAAAATTACCATGCTGTGTACAGATGCCAAGAAAGCAAGGCCACCAAAGTTACTACTACTGCGCCACCAGTTGGAGGTGGAGCTGTGTTAGGATAACACAGAAGAAAAGATACTTATACCAGGTGGTATAAAGAAGTTTGGGGAGACACATAAGCCCCTGAATCCCATAAAGTCCCAGGCCCTCAGCCAACAAGGCTGAATTGCTGCTCTAATCTTCTAAGTGGACCATAGAACACCAGTTTGAGGCTTCTATTCCTCTTAAAAGCTGTCTTTAATGTTCATTTTAAAAAACATTACCACTGTTTAAATTGTGGTAAAATAGATAGCTACCATTTAAACTATTTTTAAGTCATTAGCCAGTGGCAATAAGTGCATTCCCATCCTGCAACCATCACTAACACTCATCTTTAGAAACTTATCTTCTCCAACAGAAACTCTACCCATGAAAGACCAATTCCCTATCATTCCCTTCCCCTGGCCTTTAGCAACAGTCTTCTGTGTTCTGTCTCTATGAATCTGAGTAGGCTAGGAAACTCATGGAAGAGGAAGCATATAGTATCTGTCCTTTTGTGGCTGGCTTATTTCACTTAGCAAGTCTACAAGGTTCATCCATGTTGTAGAATCCATCATAATTTCCTTTCTTTTCAAAACTAAACAATAGCCGGGTAGTAGTAGCACACATATAGAGGCAGGTGGATCTCTGTGAGTTCGAGTCCAGCCTGGTCTACAAAGTGAGTTCCAGGGCAGCCAGGTCCACTCAGAGAAACACTGTCTTGAAAACCAAAACTAAACAGTAGAACGAGACATAGTGGTGCACACCAGTAATTCCAGCATGCAGAAAGCTAAGGTGGAAGAAATTCAAGCTCAAGGCCACCCTGGGCTACATAGTAAGGCCCTGTCCCCTGTACCTTCTCAACCCCAATTCACACACTTTCAGGTAGGCATGAGTGTGCGCACTCTGTCTCTATTTCATATCTATTTGTTTGGTTTCGAGACAGGGTTCCTCTGTTTAACAGCCCTGGCTGTCCCAGAACTCACTTTGTAGACCAGGCTGACCTTGAACTCAGAGATCCCACTGCCCCTGTCTCCCAAGTGCTGGGATTAAATGTACATGCCACCATGCCCAGCTCATATCTTTACATATACATATATTATACTCATGCATACACACATACACTAAAAAAAAAAAAGGGTTTAAAAATTTTTATCTATGTGTATGCTCATGCCTCTGTGTCTGAGTATGTTCACACTCATGTAGGTGCCTGCAGAGGCAGAAGGTAGTGTTGGATACCCTGGAGCTAGAGTTGTTGGTGGCCATGAGATGCCTCATATGGATGCTGGGAGCTGAACTCAGATCCTCTGCAGTTAATCCCTAATCTGCCTCTTCAGCCTCTCAAATTCTGTTTGCCATTCACCTGCCAATGGCCATTTGGGCTGTCTGTATTTTAGTTACTGGAAATAAATCTGCCATGAATATAGCTGTACAAATACTTGAGTCCCTGCTTTCTGATCTTTGGGTACAGACCCAGAAGGAACTGCTAGCCAGACCTGCTTTACTGGACACTGTTTCCACAGCAGGTGGACCACAGTACTCACTGCCAACAACACACAGGATCTAGTTTCTCTGCAGCATGCTCAACACTGCTTTTCTTTACTGACTTAGTTACCTTTGAATAATCTATTCTGATAGGTTTAGGTACTATCTCACTGCAATTTTGATTCACATTTTTCTAATGATGTTAAACACATTTTCATGAGGTTATTAGCTATTTGTATATTTTCTTTGGCCAAATGTCTACCCAAGTCCTTTCTTTGCCTGTTTTTAAGTTAGGATGTTCAATTGTTGAGTTATAGTAGTTCTCAATATAGTCGAGATATTGAGCCATTATTTTGATTTCCCCTTGAACTGTTTCAGCCTCCCAAGTGCTGGGATTAAAGGCATGTGCCACCACCACCTAGCAGCCCACTACTTCTTTTGCAAAAATTTCAGACGATCAAACTGTACTCCTACTATGCTCTGACAAAGACATACCAAAATGTGGTTTTGTTATTCACTTTTTAATTATTGGATTTTTTTTTTTTTTTTGGAGATAAGGTATTACTATGTAACCCTGACTTGCCCAACTTTGAGCTCAGAGATCTGCCTGTCCCTACCTCCCAAGTGCTAGAATTAAAGGTGTGTGTGTGTGTGTGTGTGTGTGTGTGTGTGTGTGTGTGTGAGACCACACCCAGCTCAGAATGTGTGCTTTATGGACATGGGTAGAAAGCTATTCAATTACCTAAAAGGGACTACAAAGTTTTTTTTTGTCTGCTACCTGTTAGCCTACAGGCCTACCCCAACACATGGCCACAGGGCACAAACAACTCTGATTCAGTCAGCTCTGGTTGTCGCTGGCCTGTATATCACTATGGAGGACACTGAGTTCCAGGCAGCTTGCTGACAAAGGCAACAGTTATACTCTGCAGCTGATTTCAAGTGGCACAGTCCGTTAGCAGAAAGGTGAGGTTCATTCTCAGTGGTCTGTGTTCAAAGCATTCCCCTTGAGCCGCAGGAACTGCAACAGAGGCAGTGACTAGAGATGGGCAGGTGGCAAGTGTTACAGAATTTGGCTTAACCAAGGAAATGACTGAATAGAATACAGGTGTGAGGGAACAGAGCAGGATCCCCTGGAGGGCGTATGGTCTGGGTAGAGGTTCCTCTGTGCTCCCCTAGCCCAGGGCACATCATTGGTCACCTCAATCTCACTGAAATTGACAGACTTTACTGCCGATCTCATCCAAGAGTGAAGCAATCCAAAACAGTGACTCTCATACCTGCATTCTGCACTTATGGTATTCTAACACAGAACTTATTTAATGCCCAGAAGAATGAAGACAACTGCAGGCTCAAAGAAAATTTATTTTTGGATCTTTTGCACAGTCCCTGGCACCAAATAAATGTTTGTTATGTGTTGGTGCTGGAGAAAAGGCTTATCCTAGACATGAGCTTCCCTCATGTCGTTCTCATGTTGTCTTATATCACTGTGGTCCATGCCTTAAAGAGTAGGGAACACATCCTAATTACAACACAGCACACCATTCACAGAGTGTGAACTCACCTGGCACAGAGTTAGAGCCCACAGGATGCTCACCAATCAGTAAGTACAGCACATAGATTTGTGTTGCACTTGGCAATAGCCGGAAGTGAGAGGCTGGAACAAGCTGCGCTCAGAGTCATCACCCACCTTCCCCACCTACCTTCCGAATATTCTTGAGAGTAGAATCAACTAGAAGTGGGTACAAGCAAAGCCTTTGCTTTTTTTTTTTTTTTTTTTTTAAGCTTGTAATTTGAAAAGTGTTTTGTCCTTTAACTTGTCATTTAAATCTTTACTACAAGCCCAGCAGGTTAGAGGGCAGGAAATTACTAATCCCATTTGTACAGATGAAGACGCTGGGCTACTATACTGCGCTCAGCATGTTCCGGCCAAGCAGGGATGGTCAATCTTATCATTTCTCCACTACAACCTTCTCCTGCCTTGACAGAGTAAATACATACTTAATACTGAACTTCTGGTCCCGTCCTGTGGGGTGCTTCTGTAACTGTCCCCAGGTCTCCAGAACCTGGGCCACAGACCACATAACTTTCATTTTTAAAAGACAACTTTCCTGAGGTATACAATTAAATGCTCTCACTGCACTGTTCGACTCACTTGAATAAATACCCATAACCATGCAGCCAGAGAATGATTATACATGGGTACAGGGTTTTCTTCTGGAATCTAGTTCTCAGCCAGGAAACCTCTATGGATTTGCTGAGGTATCACCACATTTACGTGTCACAACAGGTTGGTCACCCTTAGAAAGGCTTTGGTGTTGTCCTTGGACTGTCAAACCATCTTCTTCCAGCCCTGTCCTTGCCCCTACCACCCATTTTTTGATATATATATAATTTTACAAACTTAATTAATTTGGTTTTTCTCAGTACAGTTTAGAAAGGCCTTGAATTTACTAAGTGGCCCTGTCTCAATTCTGCCTCAGCCTTGCTCTTAAGTGCTGGGACTGCAAGTATGTATATCACACTCTGCTTGCTATTTCAAAAACAATTCAGAAAAGATGTCTAAAACGTATTTAGTCAGGACTATAGGCTTAGTGACACAGCGCTTGCCTAGCATATGTGAGGGTTCAATTTTCAGTGACCCTCCTCCTGTAGGGAGGTGCATTTATTCAGGAAATAATTTATGCTGGTTCTTTTATCTTCACATTAATTCTGTTTTCTCTAAAAAACTTAGTAATCATCTAGCTACTTTATTCCCTAAGATAAAATCAAGTAAAGATTTCTAACACCATGGAAAAATTAATTATCTTAATTTTGGTTGATTAATCTTTTTTTTTTTTTTCTTTAAGACAGGGTTTCTGTGTAGCATTGTAGACCCTGGAATTAAAGGCGTGCACCAGCATACCTGGCCTCGTGTCTTCTTTCACTTTTTTTTCTAAAAGTTTCATTTATTTGATTTGCATGTGCACATAGCAAGCATGTGGAGGTCAGAAGACAACTTGCAGAAGTCAGTTTTCTCTTTACATGTGGGGTCCTGAGATCAAACTCAAATCAACAGGCTTGGTGGCAAACACCTTAACCTGATGAGCTTGGACTCATGTCATCCAAGGTAAGTTCAGATAACCTGGAGCTATAATGACATATAGGAACTATGTATATAGGCCTACAATGGGCTTTAAATGTAAATCTCAGCCCAGTCATTCCTTGTTCTGTGAGTATGGACAAAAACACAAGGCCTGTAACCATCTACATGGTGGGACTGTACACCCAGCTTCTTGCA